CCCCAAAACCCCAAAAACCCCAAAACCCCAAAACCCCAAAACCCCTAATATTAAAACTAGAATTGAATCAACATAAATTTCACTTTAAACTTGAGACTTTGCCTTATACTGCTCAAGAAGGATCCCAAGATCTTCTGCAAGGAGGTTCTTGGTGACCTCTATACATGGTTTCCCGTTCCATGGATCTTTTTGGCCATCCCTAGAATAGTTTAGAGCTAAATAGACTTACTGTATCCACATTTCCATGACTTCCTTGTCAACAGTGTTCCCTGAAGGAGTGAAACAAGGTGTCTTCATAGGGTCATTTGTCTCTTTACAGTAAAGCATGACTTCAATAGAATCTAGATCTAAAAAAGTTAATTTACCACACAACTGGTTGTGCTTTTGACTCAGTATTTCATTTTTCTGTTCCAAAGCCTCTGAATTAGCTAAACCATCAATACGCTTCTTCTGGTTGGCAATGATCTTGTTCCTTCTAGCCACATCCTGCTCTAGAGCTACGATCCTATCTGAGAGGTCTTGCTCAATTTCTTGCTACAAGATAATTCTAAAAGATACCTTTTCTTCGTGTATTTTATGTTTTAAAGTTTCCAGCAACTCTACCTTCTGCTCCATCTCTGAAATATACTGGGCTTGCTCCTTCTGGGCTTTCTTTAGGTCAGCTATTTCCTGTTTGTTCTGAGTGGCTGAGTCATCAGTAGTTCCAAGCTTAGATAAGTCCCATTTTAGCACACTGATTTGGTATTTATAGTAAGTGTTCTCCTTTTTGTATTTTCTAATAGATTCATGCAACTGAGTGATCTGTCTTTTGTAATCAGCCACATCTGCTTCAGTGTAGGACTTCAATGATTTTTTTGTGAATTTAAGATTGCCCTTCCTAATTAGTGCCAACTCATCTTCTAACTCTGTGACCTTCAATTCACAATTATAAAGTTTATTCTTAAGCTCTGTTTTATGAATATTGCACCCCTTAATTTCATTGTTTCTATCTTTCAGTCTAGATTCGAGCTGGCTGATTTTCTCTAAAAGCTGTTCAGAGTCGCCACTCAAGGTGTTTGAGCCTGATACCTTAACATCTCCATCATTGCTTTCTTGCTCCTCGACCATTCTCTTGAGCTCGTACCTAAGATCTACAACATCTTTCATTGGAGGAAAGGTTTTGGCCTTCTGTAATTCCTTGAAGCTATTGTAAGGATGTTCTGGTTTATGATCAAGGATGTTGAACACATCCTGTCTATCAACAATTGTCAGTGAAGGAGTTAGCACAGGATAGTTCATCAACTTCTTCGTTAAATAACTCCTAGTAACTTCTTCCAACCCATTTATGGCATGCAAAATAATTTTGTAGTAAATATCGCTTGATCTACAAAATCAAAGGAGAATACTTACTGATTTTCGCTTTCTCCCTTACTGAGAAGTTCCTTGATTCTATTTTTGAGCTGAGAGTTCTCTTCCTGCAGTTCTTTCACCATCCTGTTGAAATCCTGGATGGTGTCGGTCTCAGGTGATTCAGATTCCATGCAAATTTTAGAAGATTCTTGAAGCTTCTGCTCCAGCTCCTCTTTATCTCTATGGAGCTTGGAAATAGTCACCTGAAGGTCTAGGTTCTCAATCTTCAGCTTCCTGTATGCATCCGTAATGTCACTATCTTGTGGGGCAGGAGTTTCTCGGGCTATTGGTGTCTGGACTGAGTGAGCATAATCTAAACAACAGAATTTAGTTAATAGACGTTTACTAAAATTTGAACACTCTTAGAAGGAATGAAGGCTTACTCAATGGTTCTTGGTTTTGAAAGTCTATCAGTGTTATACCAACAAAATTACCTGTGGCTTGTGAAGGGTTCTTTTCAATCTCACTAGACTCTTTGCTCTTTTCATCTTCTCCAGAAATGAATCTTCTTTCTTCTTGAAATCTGGGCATTTTTGAGACAGGGTTGGGTTTTGAGTCAAAATTGTAGTTCTTTTGATGTTTCTTTCTCCATATTCTTTGATATACATCTTTGACCCATATTGGGATTGGCTCTTTAAAATCTAGAGAATTAAGCCGATTATGATTGATTGAAAGCTTACCCCTTCTTTGTTCAAGCTTGTTGTGAGCATAGATACAATTGATGCCCTGAGTACAGTTACCTAGAAATCACTAAGTTCAGTCCGCATAGTCCAATAAAGCCCTTACCATTTCTCAGCAAGTAATTACACGTCTTAGTCTTGTACCGGGCCATCTCAGAGTTATAGGGAGGAACGAAGGTGGCTTCTCTCTCATCCGGCTTTCTATAATCTGTGCTTCTGTATTGGTAATCTTTCCTAAAGGGAGTTTTTAGACAAGAACTATCAACTTCTCTAAAAGAGCCAGAGGCTAGCCCAAGGCTGAATAAGTGCGAAAACATACTCATAGAAGTTATTTGACTGATATCTTGACATCTGACTTAAAATTAGAGTAATTTTATATCCCAATCTTAAAAATTCCTTATGGGGTTTTGGGGTTTTGGGGTTTTGGGGTTTTGGGG